TTTGGGATTGGAATGAAAACTGACCTTTTCCAGTCCTGTGGCCACTGCTGAGTTTTCCAAATTTGCTGGCATATTGAGTGCAGCACTTTCACAGCATCATCTTTTAGGATTTGAAATAGCTCAACTGGAATTCCATCACCTCCACTAGCTTTGTTTGTTGTGATGCTTCCCTAAGGCCCACCTGACTTCACATTCCAGGATGTGTGGCACTAGGTGAGTGACCACACCATTGTGGTTATTTGGGTCATGAAGATCGTTTTTGTATAATTCTTCTGTGTATTCTTGCCACCTCTTCTTAATATCTTCTGCTTCTGTTGTTAGGTCCATACCATTTCTGTCCTTTATTGTGTTCATCTTTGCATGAAATATTCCCTTGATATCTCTGATTTTCTTAAAGAGCTCTCTAGTCTTTCCCATTGTATTGTTTTCCTCTATTTCTTTGCACTGATCCCTGAAGAAGGCTTTCTTATCTCTGTTTGCTATTCTTTGGAAATCTGCATTCAAATGGGTATATCTTTCCTTTACTCCTTTGCTTTTGGCATCTCTTCTTTTCTCAGCTATTTGTAAGTCCTCCTCAGACAACCATTTTGCCTTTTTGCATTTCTTTTTCTTGGGGATGGTCTTGATCCCTGCCTCCTGTACAAAGTCACAGACCTCTGTTCATAGTTCTTCAGGCACTCTATCTATCAGATCTAATATGTATGTATAATCATAAGGTATTTGATTTACGTCATACCTGAATGGTCTAGTGGTTTCCCTCACTTTCTTCAACTTAAGTCTGAATTTGGCAATAAGGAGTTCATGATCTGAGCCACAGTCAGCTCCTGGTCTTGTTATTGCTGACTATACAGAGCTTCTCCATCTTTGGCTGCAAAGAATAGAATCAATCTGATTTCTGTATTAACCATCTGGTGATGTCAATGTATAGAGTTTTCTCTTGTGTTGTTGGAAGAGGGTGTTTGCTATGACCAGTGCATTCTCTTGGCAAAACTTTGTTAGCCTTTGACCTGCTTTGTTTTGTACTCTATGGCCAAATTTACCTGTTACTCCAGGTATCTCTTGACTTCTTACTTTTGCATTTCAGTCCCCTATGGCCTGCTTTAGGGTCAGAGGCACTGAGTGCAGCAGTGTGTGCTTGGGACCTTTGAAGGAGGTTGCCATTATCTTCATTACAGGGAGGGAACTCAGCATGACCCATCAACAGAAAAGTGGATTAAAGATTTACTGAACATGGCCCCATCCATCAGAACAAGACCCAGATTCCCCCTCAGTTTCCTCCTCTCTCCCATCAGGAAACTTCCATAAGCCCCTTATCCTTATCCACCAGAAGGCAGACAGAATGAAAAAACATAGTCACAGAAAACTAACCAAACTGATCACATGGACCACAGCCTTGTCTAGCTCAATGAAACTATGAGTCATGCTGTGTAGGGTCACCCAAGATGCGTGGGTCATGGAGGAGAGTTCTGACAAAACGTGGTCCACTGGAGAAGGGAATGGCAAACCACTTCAGTATTCTTGCCTTGAGAACCCCATGAACAGTATGAAAAGGTAAAAAGGTATGACACTGAAAGATGAACTTCCCAGGTCAGTAAGTATCCAATATGCTCCTGGAGAAGAGGGAGAAATAACTCCAGAAAGAATGAAGAGACAGAGCCAAAGCAAAACTAACACCCAGCTGTGGATGTGACTGGTGATGGAAGCAAAGTCCGATGCTGTAAAGAGCAATGTTACATAGGAACCTGGAATGTTAAGTCCATGAATAAAAGCAAAATCAAGGAAGTGGTCAAACAGAAGATGGCAAGAGTGAACATCAACACTCTAGGAATCAGTGAACTAAAATGGACTGGAATGGGTGAATTTAAGTCAGATGACCATTATATCTACTACTGTGGGCAAGAATCCCTTAGAAGAAATGGAGTAGCCATCATAGTCAACAAAAGAGTCCAAAATGCATACTTGGATCAATCTCAAAAATAACAGAATGATATCTGTTCATTTCCAAGGCAAACCATTCAATATCACAGTAATCCAAGTCTATGCCCTGACCAGTAATGTTGAAGAAGCTGAAATTGAATGGTTCTCTGAAGACCTACAAGACCTTCTAGAACTAACACCCAAAAACGATGTCCTCTGCATTATAGGAGACTGGAATGCAAAAGTAGGAAGTCAAGAGCTACCTGGAGTAACACCTTACTTAGATAAATGGATAGATCAACCAGGAAGAAAGTAATAAGGAAACACTTGCTTTAAATGACACATTAGTCAGATTGACTTAGTAGAATTATAAAAAATTCCATCCAAAAGGAGCAGAATATACATTATTTTCAAGTGCACTTGGAATATGCTCCAAGGATACAAAGGATCCTTGGATACAAGGATCCTTGTATCCTTGCATTCTAGGATACAAAGTTTGTCTCAATAAATGTAAGAAAATTAAAATCACATCAAGAATCTTTTCTGACCACAATGCTTTGAAACCAGAAATCAATTGCCAGGATAAAATACAAAAGCCCACAAATACATGGAGGCTAAACAATATGCTACTAAGTAACTGATAGATTACCAGAAAAAATCAAAGAAATAAAAAAGTACCTTGAGATAAAAATAAACACACAAAGATCTCAAATCTATGGGACATAGCGAAAACATTTCTATAATGGAATTTTATAAGATCATTCACAGTAGATACTGTAGAAACAAACCATAATTATCTTCCATTGAATTCCACACAAATAAAAAAAGAAAAAAGAATGATACAGATACCTGTTCCTTGTAGTTTTAGGGGTGGAATTCAGTTGGCCTGGAGAAAGAGATAAAATACAGAGAACAAAAAATAAAAATATATTTCTCACAAGTAAATAGATATAGTGATTGCTTCATTTATTAATTTAATTCTAGCTAGTGGTTCATATGGTAAAGCATCTGCCTATAACGTGGGAGACCCGGGTTCAATCCCTCAGTCGGGAAGATCCCCTGGAGAAGGAAATGGCAACCAACTCCAGTATTCTTACCTGGAAAATCCCATGGACTGAGGAGCCTGGTAGGCTACAGTCCATGGGGTCACAAAGAGTTGGATACGACTGAGCGACTTGACTTTTTATAATAGAAGGTCTTCTCTGGTGGTTCAGCAGTAAAGAATCTGCTTGCAATGCAGGAGATGCAAGTTTGATACCTGGGTAGGGGGGATCCCCTAGAGAAGTGAATGGCAACCCACTCTAGTATTCTTGCCTGGGAAATCCCACCGACAGAGGAGCCTGGCAGGCTACAGTCCATGAGGTCTCAAAAGAGTCAGACACAATTTAGCAACTAAACAACAACAAAAAGATCCTGCGTGTGATATATTTCTATCTAAATGATTTACTCAGAAACAATCTTGTCTTTTATTTCATTAAAACGTTATGTGAACGTTATCACTTTTAAAAGCTTTACTTAGTTTCTTTTGACTAACCATCCCCCAGATGGATTTACATTGTTAACTTTAGGAAGATGATTTTCTTCAACAAAGACTACTGTTTTGTGGCCACTACAAGTACACATATGAAGGTTCTGAATGCTTTTCTGCCCACCAGAAGGATCATTTGATCACTACTTCTTTAGCTTTTACTTCTGTCTTTGGTGGGTTCACGTTTCACTCCCTATTCTTTGACCTTTCTTCTCTGCACATCCCTTTTGTAGCCATCCAAATAGCCTCACAAACTTTGAGTAAAATTATAAAGAAGTATCACACATGCCAAATAAGTGTTTAATTTCAAAATCATTCCAGTATTCCTACCCAAATATTTTACGATGAGAGTGGGAATATGAATATCCACTCTATGGGATTAAAACTAAGCAATTTCAATGAAAATATCCTTTTCATATTATGTTTAGAAAAAAGAAATGGGTCTAAATTCTATCTTGCCTGTCTTGATTGCATTCTCCTACATGGCTAGAATGGAATTTCCCTGGTGGCTCGGTTGGTCAAGAATCTGCCTGCAATGCAGGAGTCCCGAGTTCAACCTGTGGGTCAGGAAGCTCCCCTGGAGAAGGGAATGGCTGCCCCCTCCGGGATTCTTGCCTGAAGAATCCCATGCGCAAAGGAGCCTAGCTGGCCCCAGTCCGTGGGCTCACAGAGTCAGACAGGGCTGAGTGACTGACTTCCACTGTGGGTTCATGTGGTCAGCTGATGCCGTTGCTAAGTCGCTTGTCGTGTCCGACTCTGTGTGACCCCATAGACAGCAGCCCACCAGGCTCCTCTTCCCTGGGATTCTCCAGGCAATAATATTGGAGTGGATTGCCATTTCCTTCTCCTATGCATGCACACATGCTAAATCGCTTCAGTCCTGTCTGACTCTGTGCGACCCCACAGACGGCAGCCCACCAGGCTCCTCTTCCCTGGGATTCTCCAGGCAATAATATTGGAGTGGATTGCCATTTCCTTCTCCAATGCATGCACACATGCTAAATCGCTTCAGTCCTGTCTGACTCTGTGCGACCCCATAGAGGGCAGCCCACCAGGCTCCTCTTTCCACAGGATTCCCTAGGCAAAAATACTGGAGTGGGTTGCCATTTCCTTCTCCATCATACGGCTACACTAGCCATTATTTCTCTCTCTCTCTTTTGTTTCCTAATTCAGCAACATCCATCTTCATATTTCAAATTTTCTACAACTCTGTCTTACCTAGGAATCTCACTTCCACTAGAATTCTGGGAAAACAGTGTCCATTGGCTCTTTGCCACAAATCTACTGTTCCTAAGTTTTAAATTAATATAGCAATACAATTTCTGGAGTTTCCTTTTCACCCTCGCCTATGTATTTATTTATTTTTAAAATACAACAGCCTTAATACTTCAAGGATTGTTATAGATGTTCAGAGGTAATGATGCTGTGTAGCACTTTCAATGACTGTACTTTGTCAGTCAATCAAGTCAGGGGTTGTGAACTTAAAGCCAATGGGTGCAGGCCAGGGGCGGGGCTTAGAGCAAGTAACTGTCAATGAGGTTGCAGTTGGTTGTGGCTGTTTGTGGATGAACGGATTAGCTCCCTTCCACCCATCACTTACATACTGCATGATACTCCACCTGAAGCTCTGGATGGTGAGTCTTCCTTTAGCTTCCCATTCAGGAAATTGCCCTTCCCTGCTGGTACTTTGTTCCTCAAAGAGGAAACAAATGCTTTCACAGTATTCCAGCTACAGATTCAGCCAACCATTCATCTTGAATTTTCCACCTTTCCTATGACTTTCCCGAAGATCAACCAGCCTCCCGGTGTGAATTTCTGTCCCTTAGCCCCTGCCTCTCCTCCATTACACTTCCCATATCAACTTTCCAAACTGCTCACCTACCTAGTATTTATTCTCTCTGCCTTACAAGGCACTAAGAGGAGACCACACTGACGCCATGGCTAATCTTAGGTGTATGGAGCAGAGCCGAGAGCGAGGAAGGGCCCATTCTAGTGAAGAAATCTTAGGAAGGCAACAGACCGCCCACCTTCACAGCGTCTGTGAGTAAGAAGATGTGTGTTGTGTGGTCAGAGAGTCCAAGTCCAGTTTTTTATTTGTCAAAAATCACGAGCACTTTGCAGCTTCTTAAGATTACTGGGCTCCCACAGCACTCTTTTCAGGATACTTTTGTCACTTAATTCCTGCAAAAAGTAGTGATTAAAAGGAAATAATATTTCCCATTTTCAGGGACAGAGTGAATCAGTATGATTTCCACACCATGAGAAAGAGAATTTCTCAAGGCTGACTGTTGTTGGGGACAAATCCATGTGCCATTTGAAAGGACAACTATTAACCTCCCACAGAAAGAGATTTGAGGCATTATTTAATTTTCCCGATAAGTTAATGTAGGAAGCCCATGTGGCAATTTTAAGGCAAATCAGTATTTTTTTCCTTAATGCATGTGACATGGAGTTATAAACTTATTCAAAATTGTTAAAAGTCAATTTAAGCTGAATAATAAAAATTGGAATTACATTGAAAATCTGTTTAATCTAAACTGCTACTTCTTTACCCATATTTTTAAAAGTGTCAAGCTTGAATAATATTAGCATTTACATGCTAACTTAACATGAGATCATTTTGTGGGAGTAAGGGTTTGTTAGAATTTGGAGTGGAGATTGAAGAAACTGATTTGAGTTTTCACAGCCAAAGAGTGAAATTCTTCTGAGTTTGATCATGTATTTCCCCAAAGTTCAAGTATAATTAAGATTTGGGGTAATTTTATTCTTTTATTAAAGGGATTTATTAGAATTGAATATACAAACACTTATTAAGGTTTTCAAATAAGCTATTTTAGAAATGAGAAAACTGCTTATGGGATCATGTATCCCTGCTTTCAGTTTGGAAGACAATAGACTCCTTAACTGTATTAAATTCTGCGAGCATATAGGAATATATAACTATGATGCAGAAAATATTTTCCATTTTTGTTCAAGCCCTTTTGCTTTGTAACAGTGAGAAAATTAATAGGTGTCATTGACAATATTTTACTAACCAGTTTGATTTTGAGAGCAAATACACCAGTCTTTCAGTGTTCTTCCCTAAGGCACAGATTTCTCCTAGAGCAGTGCTTCTAAATAATGGCTGACTATTAGAATCACTGGGAAGCTTTTAAGGTTCCCAATATTCAGGCTGCACTTTATACCAAGTAAATTAACCTCTGGGGAGCCACCCAGGTAAATACCTGTATTTTTAAAACTCTGATTCTAATATGTAGCCAAGGTTAAAAATGTCTGTCTTAGAAGGATAACTGAGCTTACTTTGCTGTATCAGTATTCTATTATCAAGATCCCCTGGTCTACTTCCAATTCTTAACATGTTACAGTGAGGTTGCGGAATTTAGAAATTCTTCTAGGAAAAATAAAGCCAACAAGTTAAAAAAGAAAAAGAAAAAAGCAACCCCAGACACTGGGAAACTGGTCTGACACTCAGGGCTAGGTGTCACTCGGTGTTACCACAAACTGGTGTGATGCTCACAGCTAGTCCATGTTGTTCTCTCATTTGACATAAATAATCTCACAGAACATCAAAATCAAATGAGGTCACTATGAGATGATAATAAAATTGGACAGAACAAGTCACCATGCAACCCATCCAATACCGAATACCTCTCATTCTTGTCTAAAACGAGTGGCTGCTGCTTCTGTGCTCAGCACAGCTTTATCCCCATTCCAGTTTGCTCTCTCTGTAGATAAGAGTTATTGAGTACCCAACCACAGAATTGTCCTTACTTTCTGACAGCACCCAAATTAGAATAAAGTCTTACTTCCTTAGACCCTCCCTCTCCAATATTACCCAGATCCATAACTAGTTCTTTCTAACATCCTTTTACTGAAACCCCCTACCACAGTGCCCCAGGGTGGATATATCTCCCTCACTGAGACACATAATACACCAAGCTTGTCAACTATAGATGTGTTTCTGGGGTCTTCACCAGAAGGACACTGATAACCTTTCTCAAAATACCTGACTAAAGAATATTGGGAAAAAAATGTTAGCTTAGAGACAGAAAATTGAGCAAGGTTGCTTTTTAATTGGGTGAAGCACAGTGGTTACTAACCTTGGCTACAACATTAAAATCACTTGGGGAGCCAGGCTGCCACGCAGACTGATTTAAATAGGAATCGTGGGGATAAGACTCATCACCAGTGTTATCATATCTCCCCAAGTGATTTCAAAGAAAGTTATAAATACAAGGAGAGAAATTACACAGACTGGGAAACTATACAAATTAGAAAATTGAAGCCAACAGCAGGTTGCCCAGAGTCTTTTATGCTGTAAGCCTCAGCCCAACAGACCTTTGCATGTGGGCAGTCAGACCAGAGTTACCGCTTTCACAGTGGTGCTAATATGGCACAGTGTTTGCAAGGCTCTTTGATGCTGGTGATATAATACCATGTGGAAAGAAGCAGAAAATATGATTATATAAGGATGAACCCAATTGTGTAAATAAAATATATAAGAGCTACTAGATGACATGATTGTGCAAAATTTTTTCCTGTTTTTGAAATGTTTGTTTATATATTTCAAAAATGTTCACAATAAGCATACATTTATTTAATTAGTCTTCTTTCACAAGGTTGTTTAGATAGTCTAAGAATCCAAAAAGTATATGAAACATGAAAGTGAAAAAGACATTGCTGGATCATGAGAGGAAGTTTAGTAATAACTAATTGATTGCTTAGTGAGGCAGCAAGGTGAGATGCTAAGAGATGCTAGAAAATGTTAAGCCAATATTAGGAGAGATAAAATTGGAAGAATTCCCTTCATGAAGTTTAAGACCCTGATGTAAAATGTTCCTTACCATGGGAAGCAAATGAGATTGGCAGACTGCAGCTATCACCTATTTCTTCAGACCGAGACACATCATGGCCCTTGTTCTTCTTCCAAGAAGTAACAATGGAAACATGTAACAATTCTCCTGCTTTAAATCATTTTGGTTTCAATATTTTTCTTAGGTCCTTAGTTGCTATAAAAATATTTAAAAATTAGAGAAAATCTGGCCCATGAATGTCTTGAAGCAGACAAAAGATGATTATTATTGAATATCATCATGGTCTATTGATTTCTCTCTGGATATAACAAGAAAAGAGATCAGAATATTCTGCCCCTTCCACCACTTCCCACTTTGGAATAGCTGCCTGAACATGCTTCCATAAGCTCATATAAGTGATGGCAAACCCCTCAGTTGTCCCTCCTGAGAACTAAGTAACCTGTACTAGCGTGTGGTCCTGATTACTGGCTAGATGAAAAATCCTCTTTTCAGTTGAATAGATACAGCATGAATAATAGCTGATTAGTGCCTGGCATCATAAGAACACAGGATGACACTGGACAGTCTCTATTACTTGGGGTTGTACTTTTTCTTTATCATTTAAACAGAAAACATCATAGAAGAGGAAAGTGAAAGTGAAGTCGCTTAGTTGCGTCTGACTCTTTGCGAGACTGTAGCCCACCAGGCTCCTCCATCCATGGGATTCTCCAGGCTCTTGGAGTGGATTGCCATTTCATTCTCCAGGGGATCTTCCCAGCCCAGGAGTCGAACCCAGGTCTCCCGCATTGTAGGCAGACGCTTTAACCTCTGAGCCACATCCCTAATTTTGGCAGACTCTAAGAAATTACTGGAAATAAGGACAAATATAGGCTTTTTCTTTATTTTTTTAAGAAAAGCTTTAGGAGGCCACCAAGAAGAAAAATATAACTTTCTTTTTGTTCTAGGCAAGTTTTGCAGAGTCCTGAGAGTTGGATTCAGACAGCCTGTGAGAAACCACAGGATGGAGGACCAAATTTCTAATTTCACTTCTTTTCGGAAAGGGTTTACTGATGAATGGATGGAAGTTTTTAGGCATTCATTCTTGAAGACTTCTCAGGAACTCCCTAAAATCATTCTAATATTGTCTTTGATCTGTATAATTGGAGGTGGGTGCAATTCTTTTTTATTTCAGTGTATTCTGTGGATGTATTTTGTATATGTCACCATATAGAATTAAGGGAGGTAAGGGAGGTAACAGTAGTAGGAAATTAGTGGGTTTTTTTTTTTCTAAATTCATACCTCTATCCCAAGATTTTCAATCAAATGAATCCAATAATAATCTACGCCTGAAGAGAGACCATGTAAATCTGATTCATATTCTTCACCTCTGTTGAGTTCAGAATATCCATACCTTCTTACTTGCTAAGTTATGGTTAGATTTAAGTGATGTGGTGAATTGAATCAGATTAACAGATAATCAAAGGTTAGGGATTTTGTTAACCTGCCTTATCATAAACTATAGTTTCATCCATATTTTTAAGTTAGCTGTGTCCCACAGCTTTCTTCACTTGGAAAAAGAATTTTCAAAGTGATAGGTCTTCTGAATGATTCAGTCACTTTTTAACCCCTTGATAGGTGTTCTCTTGGGATTCCTATGTGGCACTAGTGGCAAAGAACCCATCTGCCAGTGCAGGAGACATAAGAGACTTGGGTTTGATCACTGGGTGGGAAGATCCCCTGGAGGAGGGCATGACGACTCACTCCAGTATTCTCACCTGGAGAATCCCATGGCCAGAGGAGCCTGGAGGGACACAGTCCATAGGCTGCCACAGAGTCCAGCCCTACTGACGCAGCTTAGCATGGCATGGCACAGACGTTCTCTTGAGTTTTATCCAAATAGTAAAATATGATGAACTTTTATGAGAAGAACAGAACACTGTAGAAATCAAAAGAAAGCACAATTTTTGCATCCTTTGACCTGATTAGGAACTGTATTACAAAGAATTAGGAAACATTAAACTGAAGGAAACGCTGTGATATTGCTTATTGCACTTTGAGAGAATGACAAAGTCAAGCGCTCATGATCGGTTTTCCAACAGGCAGTGAAGTGAAAGAGCTAGCTCCTCAGTCGTGCCCGACTCTTTGTGACCCCATGGACTGTAGCCTGCCAGGCGCCTCCATTCATGGGATTTTGCAGGAAAGAATTCTTGAGTGGGTTGCCATTTCCTTCTCCAGGGCATATTCCCGACCCAGGGATCAAACCCAGGTCTCCCTCGTTGCAGGCAGACTCTTTCTCAGCCACCAGGGAAGGTAGCTAGATTTTCTCATTGTTATACTAATTCCTCATTGTTATACTGAGAATCAGCCAGGATATTTCATTTTAGTTATTTATTAATCCCTCATTGCTGGATTTCTTAAGAAATGAATATCTGATTTATAGCATGTACATAAATTACTATAAATATTTTAGTAGTAACCCAAGAACCAATGATTACTAGCAATGTTTACTAAAGATTCTAAGGAAATTATACACATCATAAAAGAAGTAAAGTATGAATTTAGTAGATTACCAATTATACTGACTCTGTGTTTAAGTGTGAGGGAGGGCTTCAATAACTGTTTTGTCACTTACTTGCTATATTTCTATATTTCATTGTCTTCATATTAAAAAGTTATATCAAATTAAAGTTCTGTTAAGTGTGATATCTCATTGCCTTTCAATAGACATATTTTTTGCAGCATTTTTGAACCAACACCTGAAAGATTTTCCAATTCCTCTCCCTGTGATATTATTTTTACTTGGATGCAGTTTCGAAATGCTAAGTTTTACATCTGACAAGGTGTGTATAGTAAATATGTGTGTTTTATTTTTCTGAGTATATCTAAGATTCATACAAAGATGGCTTAAGGAAATTTGTAAGCATATCTCTTCACTGCTCTGCCAGTTCATATATGCTTGTAATGCAAATAACATTAGATCAGCTCTGTAGAAAAAGGACCCAGGTGTGAAAGAGCTGAAATCCAGTTTAACGTCGTCAACAGAGCCTAGGTCTCAGCCTAGGCAGGTAATTCAGAATGAATACACATAGCTACTGAGAGTGTGAGTAGCTGAGCATTTAATCATAATTCAAAACCTCAGACAAGAAATTGGCTAACAAGGTAGAAATCCAGAAAGACTTTGAACTACTGATACAGGGCTCCGTTACCAAGAAAATTCTGACATTGAACCAATCTAGTGCCTCAGGAATGTTTCGTGGGGTTCCATTAGGATGGAGGCTCTCTCTAAGCTTGACTTAGCATATATCAAGAAGCATACCCTGAACCTCTTACATGGAGTTAGAAGTGAGAGAAAAAGCAAACTATATAGCCAAGGTATCGATAATAATACTAAATAGTTGGGAATAGCTGTGGTTAGGTAGAGAAGAGAGAATATACTTACTACAAGGAATGTAGAATGCATTACTAGCACATTAAATAGTCCTCTAGCCCAGGGGTTGGCAGCAAAGTTTTTTTTTTTTTTTTTTCTGTAAAAAGCCATATAGTGAATATTCTGGACTACATAGGCTGTATGATCTCTATCACAGCTACTCAATTCTGCCACTGTAATTTAAAAGCAGCCACAGACAATACATAAGTAAATTGGCATAGCTGTATTCTAATAATACTTCATTATCAAAAACAGGCATTGAGCCAGACTTGTTCCCAGGGACCATAGTTTGCCAACACCTGCCTTAGTTAATCAATATGTAAATAGGAATGTGTGTAAAAATGATTGACTTTCTCAAATTCTATCAGTGATGTTAAAAAAGATAATGGAAACCATATATCCAGGCAAAAATCAGAAGCAGATTACTACTTCATTTGTTATGAACAGGTTTCATGATCATATGATATTTTACATAAATGTGACTTTAAATATTTCTATAAACCTTCCTATTTATCAACAACTCTTTAAAGGAAAGGTCCCTATGTCTAGAACTCTGAAGGGTCTAAGATTTTACTCAGGTTTCAATCTAATAAATTAACATGCCACAGTTTCACAATCCTGTCAAAACACATGGGACTCCTGGGCTAGAGACAAAATACTCTATTACTCATAGCAATAGCAGAATCCAGAGCCTCAGGATTTTCTTGTCCCATTCTATTAACCCCATAAAGAGAAGTAAAGAGGGCAAGGTGAAAACTGCATATGCAATGGGTTACATTATAAGAGAGGAAATCTGAGTTTAGAGAACTTGAATTATTTTATGATAGGCATTGAGCTCATCTTCCCCCTTGCTCCAGAGAGAGATATTATCCTTATTACACAGGACAGTAATAGTAAACCTGCCCTTTGTTCTGGAGGGAGACGCTTGCTGTATCTTCCAAAGCTGTTAGTACATACAAATATTCTTGAAAGAAAATATTCTTGGAAGAAAAGCAATCAGTGCCTCCACCCATAATGTACAGAGATACACAAGAGACCAGTGAAGAATTACGTTCCAAATACAAGAATATCACCTAACCAGTAGGTACTCAGTGTTTCCTTCATGAGTGAATGTTGAATGGATGTGTTAATGAACCAAACTCATCTCTGCCCACCCTCAAGCAGGAAAGCCAATCTACTGACAGTGGATTGTGGTGAAGGAAAGCATCTATTATAAGGTGCCATACAGTGAGTACCGGACATCTAGTGCTCAAAAAGTCTTCACTGATGGGTTTCAGCAAAGCATTTTAAAAGCAAGGCAAATGAGGGGAGTCCTAGGGTATGTGATCAGCTTGTGCACAATTCTCTGATTGGTTGATGGTGAGGTAAAGTAAAATCATTGCAAATATTTCCCGGTTCCAACCAGACTCCTGAGGGGATGTGTTTATTTCTTTCATTTGGTGGGGGTTTCACATCTGTAAAATAACTCAGCAGATACGCATCAGACACTATTATTTAGATACTTAAGGGAGGAGCTAAAGCAGAGGCTATGCGGGAGGGGTCTATCTGGGGAAGGCCCCATAGAGTCCTGCTTAGTTACAGACGCCCATAATGAGGGTTAAAAATTGAAACTAAATATTTTATGATAAATGCCACTAATTAATTATTTCATGAACTGCATTAACTTCCTAGTCTCTTATTCCTATTGTTCTTCCTTACACATCTGCATAAGCCACGGCTAATTATGTAGTTTCTGGAATTTGATGTAATTATTTACTCCTTTGTGGATTTTGGGCATGATGATCCATCTACCCAAAATCTCTTTCTCTTGTAGGCCTGAAAATCCCCTACATATCCTTTAGTACCTATGTCAATGTATTTCCTATGTTTGTTCTTTAAAAAGAAACACTAGACATAAAGATGTCCATTAACTTTTTGCTGTATCTGGTAATGATCTGATGGAAAACTATGAAAATCCAACAGAGTTAAGACTTAAGCACTTACTATGTTGTGATGTATCTTTTTATTTTTTGCTAGAGATAGGAATGTATGTATTCCATGTTAACAGACTAATGGGTAAATGAGAAAATAACAGTCTTATATTATTAGGTCCAAGAATATGCAGATGCCATACAATGGATGGATCCACACTTATTTTTTAATCTATTTACACCGGTAATTATCTTTAATGTTGCATTTGATATGGATGTTTACCTGTTTCACAAGTTATTTTGGCAGGTAAGAAGTTATTTTAGGGAGTAAGAAGTTATTTTGGCAGGTGTTATTTTCAATAATGTTATTCATTCATGAACTACTACATGTGATCTATGTTCAGGCTTTTCTTACATTTCAAAAAACTTAAAAAATTTTTCTTACAAAAAAATTTACAAAAAATTTTTCTTACATTTAAAAAACTATTTGAGATATGATTTATATGTAGTAGTGTGCATACATTTTGAGCATACAGTTTGATGAGTTTTGACAAATACCTGTGTAACCATCACCCAATCTAGATATAAAAATTTTCACCAACCTAGAGAATTCCCTCAGAATTTCTTTGAAGTCAGTCCCTTACCAATGTATCAGTGAGGCAATCCCTAATCCAACCTTTTTTTTTTTAACGATTCAATTTAATTTGACTTACCTTAGAAATTTGTCCAAATATTGATGTGACTTTCAACACAGACAGTAATGTGCAAGGTCATGGGGTACAAGTAGAAAGACTAATTTTCTCATTATTTGTTATTTCCATATGCTACATTTCTTTCAAATATTAATCAGAAAAAAGTAGGAGATGGTTTCTATAGCTTTATTCTTAAAGCCTCAAATAGATGCCGGGTGAAAAATATTACATAGTGACTTTTACAGGCATTATTTTCAAAAGTCATTCCTAAGAAAGATAAATTGTATTCAATTTAATTGATTTTAAAAATCCATTACATATTGTTTTTAGCTGGTTCTTCAATAATTACTTAATAGTTTCATTGTCTTCCATGTATGACTTAGATTCATGATCAAAAATAGTAAATCTCTGCTTTGGTACCATTGTAGTTTACATTTTTCCAAAAGTTTTTGCTTTTGGTGAAGTCCAATTTGTCCAAATATTGAAAAATTTTTCCTTTAGAATTTGTGTTTTTATGTCATATTAAAAACTTATTTCCTAATTAAAGATCACTAAGATTTTCTTATGTTTTCTTCTAGAAGTTTAATTAGTTTAGATTTCACATTTAGGCCTATGATCAAATTTGAGCTAATTTTTTAATGATATGAGTTGCATGTTCAGGTTCATTTTATTTTTTCATTTGGACTTTCAATTTTTACAGAATCTTTTTTTTCCTTCAGTTTTATTGCAATATAATCAACATAGATCACTTTATAAGTTTAAGGGCTACAGCATAATGATTAATATGCATCATGAAATGATTATCATGATAAGTTTAGTAACTATCCATCATTTCATGCAGTTACAAAATTAAAGAAATAGAAAAAATATTTTTCTTTGTAATGAGAATTCTTAGGATTTACTCTCTTAACAACTTATATAACATACAGCAACGTTAATCATATTTATCATGTTGTTGTACATTATATTCCTATTACTTATTTATCTTACAATTAGAAGTTCATAAATTTGTATCTTTGCACTGTCTTCATCCAATTCTCCTTCTCACTTTCCCTGTGATTACCCCTGTCTCTGGTAACTACAAATGTGATCTCCTTTTCTATGAGTTTGTTTGCTTATTTATTTTTGAAATATAATTTACCTGCATCACTGTGCTAATTGCTGTTATACAACATAGTGATTCAATATTTATATACTTTTCAAAAAGATCATCACAATAATTCTAGTTACAGTATGTCACCATACAAAAATACTAGTTATTGACTGTATTCCCCACACTGTACATTTCAAACCTGTGACTCATTTGTTTTGTACTGAAAGTTTGTACTTCTTCATCTCACACATCTGTTTCTTTCCTTCTCTCAGTCCCCTCGCCAGGTGGTTACTGTTTGTTCTCTTTATGAATCTGTTTCTGTTTTGTTGTTTGTTCACTTAGCATGCTACCCTCTAGGTCCATCCATCTTGTTGTAAATGACAAGATTTCATTCTCTTTTGTTGCTCAGTAGTCTTCCATTGTGTGCATATGTATATATACCTCATCTGCTTTATCCACCTATCAATGAACATTTAGGTTGCTTCATATCTTGGCTATTGTAAATAATGCTGCAATGAACATCACTTCACTTCAGTTCAGTCACTCAGACGTGTCCAACTCTTTGCAACCCCATGACTCGCAGCACGACAGGCCTCCCTGTCCATCACCAACTCCTGGAGTCCCCCCAAACCCAGGTCCATTAGTCGGTGATGCCACCCAGCCATCTCATCCTCTATCGTCCCCTTCTCCTCCTACCCCCAATCTCTCCCAACATCAGGGTCTTTTCCAATTAGTCAATTCTTCGCATGAGGTGGCCAAAGTATTGGAGTTCCAACTTCAGTGTCAGTCCTTCCAATGACACCAAGGACTGATTTCCTTTAGGATGGACTAGTTTGATCTCCTTGCAGTCCAAGGGACTCTCAAGACTCTTCTCCAACACCACAGTTGAAAAGCATCAATTTTTTGGCACACAACTTCCTTCGCAGTCCAACTCTTACATCCATACATGACCGCTGGAAAAACCATAGCCTTGACTAGATAGACCTTTGTTGGCAAAGTAATGTCTCTGTTTTGTAATATGCTGCCTAGGTTGGTCATAACTTTCCTTCCAAGGAGCAAGCATCTTTTAATTTCATGGCTGCAGTCACCATCTGCAGGGATTTTGGAGCCCAAAAAAGTAAAGTCTGACACTGTTTCCACTGTCTCCCCATCTATTTGCCATGAAGTGATGGGACCAGATGCCATGATCTTAGTTTTCTGAATGTTGAGCTTTAAGCCAACTTTTTCACTCTCCTCTTTCACTTTCATCAAGAGGCT